CCAACTCCTTAGCACCATACATGGAGCGGCTTAATTCGTAGCGTTATTTTCGATTGTCTAATCTTTATTCTGGTTTCATCATTCTAGTTAATAATGTGCACAATGCACTACAATGAGGTTTCGAGTTGAGGAAACATTTTCGTCATATATTTGAGAGTTCGCGTTTCACGTGATTTTGTGACGAACTGATTCTCAAAATTAACAAAATACTGCCCAAAGATTGCTGAATCGTCAAGGGTGAGAGTTTCATATCTGAGAGTGAAACTAATATGAAAAATAGTTTTTTTTTAAATTTTGTTTTATATTTCATTTAAAATTAATAACCATTTAGGAATTGATTAACGTTAAACTGTGCTATATTTATACAAAAATCAAGTTTAAACAGTGAAACATGCAATTTAAAATTCAATGATTGCAATTTTTTTTCGAGATTTGATTTCACAAAATTTTTCGAAATCATTATAGTTGATGATTATATAAAAATACATAAATATTTTTAGCACTCTAAAAATAAATTATCTTCCGTGTAAAGAATCTGATGTAAAGTCGATTATGGAACAACCCTATCTCAATATTTATCATTCAAATCTAGGGCATTGAGACATATTTCAAAATAGTAAACATCATTCTTATTTCCCAAAACTGTTCGATAGCTTTAAAACAACTGATAAACAACGAAATTTGTTTCTTATTTCGTCATATCAAACGGACATAAACCGGTTTTTAATAATTTAACAAATGTATTTATTTTTGCACCCAATAGCTTTTTATGCAGATTTTAAAGTTTTAGCAATAAATTATTCTGCTTAAAAATGATTTTTTACCCAATTATTTAGAATGAAATTGAAAAATGGAACAATTTGTTTTCAAGATTTAGCACAAATATTTAAACAGGATGTCAGTTAAGCAATCAATAAATATAGATAAGTTCCGAAACGATTTTAAATATTTGCATGTAAACAAACAAACTTTATGTGTTGATTTTATTGCATAAATTCTAGTTTGTTAAGGTTTAAAGTTGTCGTTTATTTCAAAATAATGTTTTTAATAAAATAAAATAAAATAAAATGTAATAAGAATAATTAGCTTTAAAAAATTTTAAAAATAAAATTATAAGTTGAATAACAATATCATACCAATTTAAACTTCTAAACATTTTTAAGCTCAAAAATATGTTTCTATTTTTTCTTATGAAATATAATTTTTGAACTAAATAAATAAAATAAACTTTGTGGTAAGAAAGTGAACCAAATAATAAATATTTTCTCCAAAAACTAATAAAGAATGCAGGTGTTTATATTGTGAGTAAGGTTGCAATTGTTATTATTTTTTTTAACGCGAATCGCTTAACGATAAATCTTATTATATTACTTATCTTCAAATAAGTGCATTCGAATTATGTTACTTTAAATAAGTGTATTCGAATTGTTTAATTACTCATATCTCAAAGTGTACAGTTATCTCTCAAAAACAATTATTCAACGAAATAATGAGTAATTATACTTATATTTTAAAAAAATGTTAAATGTATAACATATAAATTTTTTTTTAATATAAGTATAATTGCATATAGAATTAATCTCATGTATGATACGAAAATAAAACTATAATAAATAATTATTGTTATGTGATAATGATGCGTTCCATACAACGAAAATTTAAATGTGAAACAATTAATGATGAAAGTGACCTGCAATATCAGCAAACGATTTGATATTTCTTTTTTATTTCTTTATTCATGTATCGTGCCCTAGCTTTTCCTGTCCCATCAGCAGCAAAAAAGTTAGAACTGTTTGATGTTAAAACACTGAGAAGGCAGCTGTTACAGAAAACAGCTGCCCTGACAAACACCCCAACGTACGTGCGATTCAAAAGTCACGGAAATTTTCACCAAAGAATGGTTCGAAAAGGAAAAAAAAATTTAGATCGTTGAAAAAGTGCGGATCTAGCGTTCGCCAGATGTCCATGGTATACATATTTCTTTTTATTTTATTTTAGCAACACTACTGATAAATTCGTTCGTCCCCCCTCCCCCTACATGAAGTCGTTATTAGATATTTCAGATAAAAATCTTCCGCAAAATCCAATTTTCAATGATAAGAAAGTTAATTTTTTTAGCACCACTATTACTCCTAACTAACTTTAATTATCTCATAATTATTAATCTGACATAATTATTTCACATCGTTATAATTATTACTCCATTTGTTCATTATTATTCTATAATATTTGAGGAAAAAAGAATACAAATGCAGGGTTTGCCAAATATTTTTTTTTACATAGACTTATGTACCATTTTACATAGGGAAGAGAGAGGCCAGTGTAGACACATGGGGATAAAGTAAACATCTTAAAAGACTTTTTAATTCATTGGTCAAATCTCCTCTTGAGACATCGTAAATTGGCAATACTAGTGTACACTTCTATGTGTTGCATAATCACACTGTGAATAGCTTAGCAGAAATTTGTAAAAGGTTTAGAAAAAAAAAACTTTCAAATTTTCATTTTATTCTTTCATTAATATATTTCATTTTCAATTTTCACTAAAGGAGATAATATGTTATAAATGATGCTGTCATTTACCTGTTTTACTATTAACTTTTGTTGTGTTTAGTTTCAATTAATCAGTATTAGGCATAAACAAACACGTGTACTTGTGGAACAAGTAAAGACATGTTTTAAGTGACTTTTTTCATTCTTAAGCTAGTTACTTAAGTTTTTTTTTCTTTTAATTTTTAAATCGTAATGATATTAGATCGATATAAATAAATTGAAACTTCTTGACAAAACACTGACTCTATAAGAGTTAACGACTTTGTGTTAGGCAAGTTTTTTATTTATTTAGACTTAATAAAAAATATCGTTGTGTAGTTGAGAGTGGTTGTTGCAGAGTGGAAGTTGTTTGTAGATTTGAAAATTATGATGTTCAATTCTTTAAAAGAAAAAGAGGGATATAGCTCTTTTAATCGTGAATCCTTCATTTTTCCAGGGAAATAAAATTCTATTATTAAGAGAAGAAATAGTTACGCAACTTCCATCTGTAGTGACTTGTAAAACTAAAACCAAACTGGTAAAACCATCTCAATACGCACTTAAAGTAAACATTTTAATATTTTCTTGTTGATAAAAACTAAAAAAAAATATCAAAATATTTATCAAATTGAATAATGCTTTTCAAATGCATTGATTTGTGCTCAAAATGTCTTTTTTAGTATAGTGAAATGCTTGATTACAAATTAGTATTTTAGTTCATATGTCAATATTTATTCTTCGATAAGGCTCAGATTGAAACCATTTCATATTGGCTTTAGGTATACTTTTCTGAGTTGTAATAAACGACTACTTCACAAGTTATCAAGCTTGTCCATACTGGCCTCGTGTAAAGGGGAATTTTTTTAAAAATTTATTATGGAAGAAAAAAAATTTAAGCACAAATATAAACAAAAATGCAGTAAAAAGTCCAAATTATTGCTAAAAATAATTCTCCACAAGTAAATAAAAAAAAAATATTCATTTAATAAAATTTTTTGCCGAACTTGCAAAAAATGTTCTTACTAGCTCCCCCCTTGCCTCTAATTAAAATAACATTTTTCAATTTTCGCAAAACATAATTGATATAAAGATAATACATAATTGATATAAAAAGGCAAGAAGATCAACCAAGAATATTAATAATTTAATAGAATTAATTGTTAATTTCCTTGAAATCTAATAATTATAATTACAAGTAAGAAATCAAGCAAACTAAGTTTATTAGTAAATAAAAAAAGCAGAATACAAGAGGGAAAAAAAAAGTTTTTTTTCTTAAAAAGAGTTTTTGATCCTATAAAGAGATTCGTTATCATGCTGATTATCAAAAAGAAACTTATCATTTACATATATAACAGAATTACCCCTAATTTTGTTTTAAAAAAAAACGTCTTCTTATTTAATAAGAAATAAGTTGGGTGTTTTAAAACACCGGCATAATAGCAATTGAAGCTTCTTTTAAAAAAATATATTGTCGCAAGTATATATATGTGGCACTATGACTTTACGGTAACAATTATAAAAATATATTGTTTGGTTCATAGCCCTTCATCCTTAAACCCTTTCTATTTTTATGTATTATATTTTCTCTCACAAAATCAGCAACATTTCTACAGTGCCAGTTTTACTTTACACTAGTTCGAGTGTTGAAGTATCAAAATAATGCGGTGAAAATATTAATAAATATTTTTTAGCACTATTACAACTTAAATGAACATTTTAAAACTGATTCTTAAAGTGATCGTTATTGCTAATTCTATTCGAAAAATCCAATTTTCTATCACAATACAAATTATATATCACTATAATTAAGTTATACTATAATTAAACCGCGATATTAAAAATTTCCAAATAATCAAATCAGAAAATAATCAATTTTGAACACTGATAACAACACAAGGAAAATGATAAAAACGAAATTAAAAGTTTAAATTAAGATAATTTAAGCAAAATTTATTAAATTAAGTAGCAATTTACCATTTGATGCGTTTGTTTATTAATTTGTGATTGTATAATGAACTTTTAATACATTAAATTGAAAATAAATAAATAAAACTATTTAAAAAATAAAAATTTCTACAAGAAATGAACATTTGCATTGGAATGGAGCTTCATTTTACGAAAAATAGACAGCTCTATTTCTAAAATAAACAAATCAGAAAAAATAATATATCTACGTCATTCATTAACTGTGTAAGTACAAAAAGTATTTATATACGAAAATTCTTATAGCGAAATTTTTTGCGCAATGAGTTTTAAAAAAAATAGAAAACTGCTTATAAACATGATTCAGTTCTATCAATTGCGCTTCCAGCGTGGCTCCTTCCACTTCAACTTCGAAACTCTGAATCCGCAAAGCTGTCTCCAGCCTTGAAGCTCGTCGGGGGCGTTCACCTTGACTAAACGCTCCCCGCTCTCATTGGACCCGGACTGCGTGACGTCAGCTCTCTCTTCATGTTAGATATCTCCTCTCGTTCACCGCGCTCTTCAGTTTTCGCACTGACAGAAACAGTTTCGCTTTGGATTTGTAGAGCTGGGAAATTTTACACTATTTTCCTCTCCCGCGGCGTGTTCTCTCCGCTCCCTGGATTTGTTAGTTCTGTGAGTTTGTGCTACCCATGGGGGAGCTCTTCGACATAACCATGTCTTATCAACAGTGTGGTCGGAATTACAGTGCTTCCAATAAAAAATATCCTGCTTTCGGTTCTTTGACTGTCAACCAAAATTCTAAAACTCCCTATTCAGACGCTACTCGGTGTAAGAAAAAATCTTCCCATGTGAAAAGGCCCATGAACGCTTTTATGGTGTGGAGTCAAATAGAAAGGAGAAGGATTTGCGAAGAACAACCTGACATGCATAATGCTGAAATCAGCAAAAGACTGGGAATGATGTGGAGATTGCTCGACGAGGATCAAAGGAAACCTTTTGTAGAAGAGGCTGATAGACTTAGACAGTTGCATCAAATTCAGTACCCGGATTATAAGTACCGTCCACGCAAAAAGAAAGCCCTACCACCAGTGAAGCCCACCAAAACAAAATCAAACAGCGCAGTGAATCGAACATCGGCTGCGACCATCATCATCGCCAACAGCAGGCATGGTGTCGGTAAACTAGTGCAGCGCGGCGTAAAACAAATAAGAAATTGCGAAGAAAATCGCAATCGAGTGAAACTGTGTTCTACAAGCTTCAAGCTGAAGCTGCTAGAAAAGAAAATTAAAAAGAGTGATTCCGAAACTAAGTACTCTCCTGTTACCAAATACGTCCCAGTGACCAACGTCCAGTCCGATGCTTCGTCAGACGCATCTTCTCCAGAACCAGCACAGGAGCCAGTAGTTTACAAAAAACCAGTGACAACCACCTTGACTAAAGCCCCGTCCACTGTAACGTCGTCCCTTATGTCAGTTTTCACGCCTGTGTCTGTGAAAGTCGAACCACATTCTTCAGAATCGGACTATAATTCATCGTCCAGTCCGATTCCATCATCTAGTGGTTCTAGCTCAACTTTTGACGATTTACCGGACATCAGCGACTTAACGGATATGCTAGAGTGTCCGGCTAACTGGAATAGTGTTCTGGATAACGAACCTTTACCGATAGATCTGGATAATACGCCGCTACCATTGGATATTCCGGATTATTCGAGTATTTTCGGCAGCGATTTCTTAGACAGCAATGGACTATCAAATTTGTGCCTAAATGACAATTCCAGGTGGGATTTATTAATTAATGGAGCATGAAGAAACTGTAGCTAGAAGTGAGTGAATTATTTTAAGAATTTCTCAAATTGCTCTCAAAAAATATATTCATTTACCCGCTATACCTTTATAAAATGCTTCTACTCTTTTTTATTACATGCAATGTATAATGTAAGCTTCAACAAATATTTATCAGTATTGTTTGTGTGATATATGTGCGAGAAAAATTCTCAATGAGCTGTTATTCGAACTATTTGTGGAGAGCACATGTTTAATATCATAAGTCTATCTTCCGTCATTACTTCTCAGTTGCAGTTAAAAAAAACTCATTTAATTTGTCTTGAAAAGACTGGTAGTTTTATTTTTATCACTGAGGAACGTTACTTATTCTGTTCTACAGAAAGCTCAAACAGACGATAATTTCTTAGTGAGGAGGTTTTTTTTAATGATTTTTTTTATTATTTTACATATTCGGAATATTGCCCCAGAGTATATTCAGTGAAATTTTATATAGATGTAAATAGATATATTCTTTCATCATATTTAGCAATATGTTGTATAGATTTTTCAAATTTTATTTCGTTTGAAAATATCGGTAGCAAATAATATCGAATTTTTTAATAATTGTACATTCACGAAAAAATTTCAGAGTGTAAATAAAATTGTATTAAATTGAAATTATCGCCTTTACCAAACAATTATGTTTTTGAGCTTAAAAGAAATATAAGTAGCTATGCCAGATTTTGTGAAAAACAAAATAAAAAATATATATTTTCGTTTTTGCAAAACGATAACTTATTTTGTTATAAAAAAACAAACTCAGATATCATTTATATGAAATCTGATTGTAAATGGATTACCAGTCGAAAATTAGTCATGTTATTTCAGTTCCTACTTTATTATTTTATTATTATTTTTTCTCTTTAGTTCAGTGTGAGTCAGGGTTAGCTTTTCTCACTTTTTTGTTGGACATTTATGATATAACTGCAACCGTAGTATATATAATTGTTGTTTCTTGTTGCAGAAAATAGTGAGCTTTTGTTAGTTTTCAATGAAAAAAAAAAGAAAGGAAACATTGCTATGTTTTCTTTTAACCATCCGTTATTATTAGAGTGATTTTGTTTTATTTTTATAATTTTTTATTGAGCAAATTTATTGAATTCTGGTGCAAAATTGCACTGTTGAAAATTGTTTGAAATTATTACGATTTTATCCATGTTGTTAATTTGTTTGAATTAAAAGTGAGCAGTAAGATATAATGAAACAATATATTAAGGAATCAAAATTGGTAATTAAATATTAATTCTCTTCATTGAAAAGAAAATATTAGTTTTTCACACTACGTATATAATGTCAGTGAAAATCTGCACAAACCATAACAATGCCATAGTAAATTTTTTCAGTACAAAACCCCTTATATATGTTGTCTGTCAGTGATGTCTTTTTTCATTATCATACTGCACCTGCTCATTTGTATAAATTTACATAAGATCATAAATTATATATTCTTAGTTAGCTGTTTTTGTATAGTTTTTAATACCTCATTGTACAGTTTTTGTTCTCCATATTCGAAGGAGGCTGATTTAAATAAATTTTTCTAAGCCAAAAACATCTGTAAAAGATTGTATATTTTTTCACCGCATCTTTTCAATGATGCTGCAAGTTTTCTAGGGGCCATGTATTAAAAAAGATAATTCACCATATTTTAAGTATGTGTAATTATGCACAATTCAAGTCAGATTTTTTACCTCAAATTGCTCAAGCTGTGAATTATATGCAATCTAATAAAAAAAAAAAGTAGATTAATATGTTAAATGCAGTATATTTTTGACCCTTTATGCATTAACAAATAAAATATACATTTTAAAGGGTTTGTTGCTTATTCAATTTAAAAGGGCTTTTAAAGCAAAAAAAAAAGTCAAATGTAAAATTGAAAACATAATTATTTAATATTTCTATAATTAATTTTTAAATAGCCTTATTGAATGTCTTTAAAAGCTTATTATTTCTGAATAAGAAAATGCTGAAATTTTAACAATTATTTACAAATATGATGCATAAAGGGTAAATTAAAAACATTTATTGCTATTCAAGTCATTTAGATTTGTAAAAAAAATAAATCTTAATTTACTCATTAATTAATTATTTACTTTAATCCATTATTTAATGTTTCCAAAATAAGAAATTCTATGTTCAACTTTAATAATAAATTAATTTAAAAATTCTTACTGTGAATTTCTTAATTGTATTTGAATTCTATGTGTTAAAATTAACAAAAAATTTTAAAAAATATATTTGTGAAAAGATACTTTGTTTTGAGTGTGCATTATTGCCAATGTATATATGGTGGAAAAATAAAAAGTTGTTTACTTATGTTTGGTCTTTTATTTTTGTTTTCGGATTGCTTGTTTATAATTATTTCATTTTTTTTTAATGTTATGTATTTGAACTTCAAGTTGTAATAGTAAAAGACAAAGCATATCAATTATAGTAATTCTAAATGATAATTAGTCAACAAAGGTAAGTTCAGTGCGCAAATCAAGATAATAATTATTTTATTCTTAATATAAAGGTAAGTAAAACCAATTCTCTGTATTACGTTTTCTTTTTGTTATTTCTTGCAACTATCACTTTTCTTTGATGAATGTTCGATTTTATTGATATATCATTACGTAACCTACCTAATCACGATTGCTAAGTCGTCAAAAAATGTGACTGTCATAGTCGTGTTTTGACATTTGTAAAAGCACGTGGTAAAAATGTGTATCTTGACTTCGTATATAGCGCCATCTGTTAGGAAGATTCTGAACTTGGACTGGAATTATTGGTCAATTCTCGGATCTTATCAATTTTTTTTTTTTAATTTCAACTAAAACTAGGATGTTTATCAAGATTGCAGAAATAACTTTTCTTTAAGAAAAAAAGCTTCATTTAGATTTGTTGTCAACATGTTTGTATTTATTTTTCGAAATCGAACAATCTGTTAATTTTAGAAAATTAGAAAAAAAAGCATTTTTTTTTCTAGCATATTAATATAAATATATTTGTAATACATCTGAATTTATTCATATTATCTATAATTATACTCCTATGATTTCTCAACAAGCATTTTACTTCAAGTGTTTTTCAACACTGCAATAATTATAATTTTTTTTTAAATAATTTGTTTTTATTTTTCCTAGAATTTCTTGCCTTTGGTACTGCAAATTTATAATAAATTATTATGGATACTTAGATCACATTAGTATAGTGAGTAATTACTTTTTAACTTGCATTTTATTCTATCAACTTCTAAGTTTAAGTCTTTCTAATTTAATTTAAAGTTAAGTCATTTAAGGTGTTTAATTTTAGTCATTAAGGTTAATTCTTGCAGTATAAAGATTAAAACATGTCGTTACTAGTTGGATACGAAAGTAATCATGGAATTCGATTTACGTATTCTTTATTTTAAATTATAAAGTATATTAATTATTCTATAAATTATGACAGTAATTTAAAACAATACTGTAATATAATTTTATTTTACCCTAGTTAATTCTAATTTAATAAAGATTTCGAAAAAAATCAATCAACCGCAGAGCTTTTAACAAAAATTTAAACTTTTAATATTGGAAATGCTTATTCATTTCATTTGTCCCTTTCATAAAAGAAAGTCATTTATTTGGTTTAAAACCTACGATATCAATATTTATTCTATTTTATGATACATTATCAACATCTTTAAACTTAATGTTATTATATGGAAAAAGAAAGTCGCCGCTACAATGTAGAATCTATTCGAAGCCTTAATTTTTTTTCCACGTATGTTTTGCAGCAGCAAATGCATTAAGCTGTATACATCATTTAATGTAGAATAGAATTGAGAGTAGCGTTTAAGTCTTTTTTTTTTCTTAAATTATTTAAATTAATTTTTCTGCACTTGTAAAATAACAAGTTAAATTAATAATTCCAGTGAAAAATCTGTATTTCAAATTTTACAAGAAATGCTTAGTTAAAATTTAAAAAAACACTTTCAAGATTCGCTAAGAATGACTATAATGTATTAAGTGTACATAAATCGTCGAAATATTTAATATATATTTGAAAATATTATTTATTTGATATTTGTGACTTTTATTTAAATGGGACTGAAAATGACATAAAAATATCGAAAGAAGAAACATCAAAATAAAGCTTATAAAATTTCAGAACAAAAATAAATGAAGAAAAGGGAAAAGAAAACAAAAAGACGGAGAGAGATATTACTTAACAAATTGCATGATAAAATCGATACCAGCTAATTTGTGATGAAAATTCAACCTAAAATCAAAAGTGGTTGAGTTTTTTTTCCTCCACTTATAGGAATTAAATAGAATACTGAATCATAAAATTGTGTCCAATTTGCTGCAATTAATGATATGGTTACCAAGTTGGATTTAGTGACTGCGCAAATTTGTCTCAAGTTGTTAATATGGTGCCAAGTTGAATTGTATTATCAGGGGTTTGTCCAGACATTTTGTGAATTGTCCGTCTTTGTAAAATTGTGAAAAAATTACTCGTAATTAGTGAATATAAAATAAACGTTAAGTCATATTCTTTCAACCAGGGTCCGCTTTTGTGAATTAGTGCAAATGGGATCCGTTATTGCAAAAAAATCTTTTTCAAGGAGTTTTCAAATTGTAAAGACATACAAGATTATGCTCAACACTGTGAAATTATAATTAAAAATAATTTAAAAATAAATTTTAAAAAATAAACAGCAATTGCAGCTACTAAATTAGCGATGCAACATATAAATATTTGGTATTTAGCTTTTATGCTGAATATTCATTTCGGACGAATTAAGGAAGAAGCGTCTGCCGAAGACAAAATTTAGTTCGTTTACATCTGTCTTTCTTCCCCCCCCCTTCCTGGAAAGGGTTTATTCGATTAACAAAACAATAATGAAGATAAACAAATTTGTGAAGGGTCCGATTATAAGATAAATTATTTTGTGAAGGGTCCGTTTTTAAGTTAAAATACTTTGTGAAGTATTTATGAAAAGATATTTTGTGAAGGGTTCGTTAACGGACCCAAATTTCTTCTAAACAGACCCCTGATTATCATTCAAGATTTACTATTTAAAACATGACTGAAGAACACTGTGAAACATGGTTCAATATAATTTACATTAAAGTTTCAACAAATTTGAACGACGTTATTTACGGTTTAAGGTACCAGTATGTCGTAGAATGTAAGTTTTCATATTGTCCTATAGACAAAATTTTTTTAAACATAAAACCACCTAAGTAAACGAGCAAAAACTTCGAATAAACCTTTCAAACTTAGAATAATATTTCAGAATTATTATAATTTTTTCTGTTTGAAAATTCGACATAAAAAAAATAAATTATGGAATTAGTCAGATTGTAATTATTTCGTGACGAAAAAGAAGAAAAAAAAATAATATATCCGTATCCTAAAACATTTAAAAGCCAGGTGCAGGAAATGTAGTTTTGCTACCCAAGGTTAAAGGATCAACTTCAAAATGTTACATGTTACCAACCGTGTGTCCTCCAAATTTCCAAAGGAAACTCCTGAAGTGTTGTAGGAAGAAAAGTAACATTTGCATGCTTAATTAAAATAATAAGGTTTTATAAGCAAACATCAACATTAATCAAGCTTAACACGTATTTTTTTAAAAAAATAAATTAAAATCGGGTATTTTTTTCAATGAATCAGATCTTAAAAATAATTTTTAAAAGGTTGAATCATTAGGCGGTATAGAGATTCTCTGATGGTCTCATTATTTATCTATATATATATATTATTATAATGTTTAGAATTAAGTATATAGGGATTCAAAACAAATTTTTTTCGTATGGGTAAGGAGAAAATTTTTTTTTGTCAAGACATTTGGTTTAAAATTAATTTAAATCGTTTTCCAAAATTCCCCCAGTACGGGCAAAAAGGAAATAATAATAAATCTTTTATTCAGGCGCTAAAACAGCGATTCTCAAATTTTTTCAGTTACCCTAAATAATCAACCTTATTTCGCTGGAGCCCTGACATTTTAAATACATTTTATTATGGTAAATGTGAACGTTATAAACTATAAAAACAATTTTTAAAGTATTTAATTAAGCAAGCGAAGATTTTTCATCGTTGTGTCGTTAATAATTTCAAATTAGGATTTATTTTTGACAGTTAAATTTGCAGTCTTTGTTCTATATCTAGTCCAGTTATTAATTTACTTTTGGTGTATACATAAGTAAATAAAATTAGACGAATTAAGGTTCACTTCGAGATGGAAACTGCTGTTGAAAATGGTTACTGAGGAAACATATTTCTTTAAAGAATTACTTTATTTTGATGTTCAAAGCACGATAGGAAATACTAATGCAATATTTTATAAATGCTTGATTTTTTCATAATGTTTTCAATATATTGTGATTAGAAATATATATTTGTGGTTAGAAATATATTTATTTTTTCTTTCATTGGCATTTTACTTGATATAATTTCATAAAGGCAACCGAAAGATCAAATAAATTATGAGTTTTAGGTTGTGTCTAACAATAATCAGGTTTCAAAATTCATTACTGGTTATAAAAAATACTAACTCTTGGAACACTTTTTACTCTTCTACGAAACTCTAGGGTTCCATGGAACACCATTAAGAAAACGCTGCGCTAGATTTTAGATAAATGTTTATGATAAAAGATAAATAAACATATAATAGTTAGCAAAATAATGTGAATTGTGCTATACTAACTAAAACAGCAGTTCCAAAATGGGGTTTCATGAAATTTAATTTTTTTAAAATCAGTAATGAGTTTTAAATATTGTAATTATATTTATATTAAACAATAAACCATAATTTCTTTGAAAGTTTGGTTATTTTAATGAAATTGTTTAAGTAAAATGCAAATAAAAAAAAAGTGGCAAAATTTATATAAAAACTACATTATGTAGGACTCAATTCAAAGTAAAATGATCGAATTCAAGAATAATGAATTATGTATCTCTGATAGCTATTATCAACGCTCATAAGAGTTGTTTATAAAAAACTATAATTTAGCTTTATTTTATTCATTTTCAGCTATAACAAATTCAGAGCTAGACTAAGATATCCACTCCAGACCTCCGAGTTCAACTGCTTAACATAAAACTTATTATTTTAAGTGTTTTATTGATAAAACGAATATTCAAAAATTATTGTTGCTCATAAATTTTATTTATGTGTTTGGGATTCCTCCAAAAGATGCTCGATCATTTAGGGTTCCTTACCCGCAAAAAATTGGGAACAGCTGATCTAAAATAAAATTTGTATGCCAAAGCTCTTAGAACATTTTGAAAAATCATATTCAAAGTTTTTTGCAATACTTCTTTTTTAATATTGCGAGATTCATATT